AAACAACGACAAAAAAATACGAAAAAAAAGAAATAACAACGGCAACACAAACACGCCACTTGGACTTGACAAATTGCGAGCAACGTTTACAATTGAAACAATTTAATCAAACAACAAGCAAAAGTGGCAACTGACGAGAGGGGAATGTGGCAAGAAGGGGGCTATAACACGGTGGCAAATCAACAGAAATCGACGCTGAGTTGCACATTTCGTTGCCCCACTGTAACCGCGGCAGCAGCAAAATAAATACATGAATAAATGGGCGAAAATAAATAATCGAGGGTACAAAACGCTGACAAATTATGTGGATAGTTAGAGAGCGATTTACCAAACCCTGGGAAACTTTTGGGAAAAAAGGTGAGTAAGAGTTTTGGGAGATATGATTTGTAGGCAAAAGTATCAATTCATCAATGATAATTTATTGGGTTGTCAAGTTATTGCGATGAAGTAACTTCCCCTCTCCAAGCAAATAATTAAAAAGCAATTTCGATGGTGGCCCAGTCAATGTAATTCACCGCAAAACAGTTAATATTATTAAGTATGTTAAGTAGATAATTAAGCCATCAAGTGGTTTGCCCGACTTAATCGAATCGATAGACTCAAACTAGCCACATGGTAACTGGTTGGAGCGATTAAATCAAAGCTGAAAATGTTCGAGCGACTGGCGGTTAAGGTGGCCAATTTGACCCCCTTAACCCGTTGTTGCTCCCTGGGATTTACTTTTGCTTCTATTAAAAGTAGAATTCCGCTAAAATAATATTCACCAATTTCTTAACTGTAAATAGAGATTTAACAACTGAAGGTGGAGTAAAAAAGTTCAACTTTCGAACAATCAAATTTAATCGGAATACCTTTTTTTAATTTAATTAATCGACATGCAAACCTTTCAATTTTTTTCAGTTGGAATCGTGACGCATGTCAGTTGGATTGTCATCGTGTAAATGGAATCGGAGATAAACCACGAGGGATGGGGAACATGGGGGACATATACAAATATATATATTTCAGATGCCGATGGGCAAACACATGTCGACCGCTCCTGCCAGAAAGAGAGGGCGCAAGGGAAGAGAGAAGGCGGGAAAGAGAGGGAGCAGAAAAGGTGAATGATTAATGTGCATTTAATTGCCGGCTGGCCGATCGGAGGAATCGGGGGAGAATCGAAGAGGTCGGCGCGATAAATTCGATAAAACTAAACTGTGGGCCGCTAAATGTTACCATTTATTAAAGATTAAATATATAAAACGCGACTACAAGCGGAACGACATCGGAATAGATGGATAGATAAATAAATAAATAATAAATAAAGTGAACAACATTGCGGCGATCGCCGTCGCATTTGCATATCAACTTTTCGCATTAAATTCAATTGAAAGCTTTTCTCACTTTAGCATCATTTTGAAATTCAATGAGCCGCCCGCGCCCCCGCATTTCGTATTTTAGACATTCGCTAATGTATTTATTGCCATCGGATGCGAGCACAAAATTTATGATGGCATTAAGCAAATGTTAGATGCAAAAACAACAGTGTACAGGCTGGAATTGCAAAAATTTATAGTGTTAGTTGTAATTTACACGAAGCACAACATAACCACCCCCGATTCAAATTAGCCCCCTGAATCAACTAAGCTCGCCTCCCATTAGCATGGTTAATTTTATTCGCTGCTGTCAGTTTTGCTGGAAACGCATTTGTTTCTCACTTACCATTTTTTATCCCGGCATCGGCTAATGATAGCTAGACGATTTCGATCTTGATGGATCGCTTTTGGGAGGGGGCAACTCCACTTGTAGGCCTCCAAAGGAGGAGCAGATACGTTTTGCACCATTTAAAGGCGGTTATTTCTGGTGTTTAAGGGAAATTACTCCCCAAAGAGTTCGCCATTCACACTAGTAATCAAAGTTATCTTTACAACTCTTTAAGAATAATAAACTCACGAAGAGTAATAAAATGTGGGGATATATAAAACAATTTGAATTCAATTTCAGCACTAGTATTTTAATTTAGTAATTATTAGGGTGCGAGAAAAAATATATTTAATATTTTATTAAATGAAAAAAAAATATTTCGAATATTTTGCTACTTATTATAATAGTTTTATGAATAACTTAAAAAAATAATTAAGTAGTTTTAAAATAAATCAAAATATTTTACTTTACCTAACAGCGCCAACTAGACAGGCATTTAGGAAACTACAGTTCATGGTTTGCAGTTAAATAGATGGCGCTACAAAAATGCGCCCGCTTGTGTCTGAAAATGAAACTAAGATTGCACTTGAATTTAAAAAATTAAAAAAATATAAAAAACACTGCAAACTTGGTTTATTTTTATAATCCAAATTAATATACCCCGTAATACAAATTCTAAAATATATATTTTAAATGAACATAACAAAAAATACAATAAACTATTTAAATACAATCCATAATTTAAAGTTTATTGAACTGTATGAAGCTATAAATCAATCTTCCCAAATTCGCAGGAAAGACAAATCACCGGCAATCCCTGAATATGAAATGGAAATCAGATTTCTAATGCTACCACAAAATTGTTTATTTAACTTTTCTTTTTTTTTGTGATTTTGCGCTTAGTGAATTTTTAGTGAATTCCGCGAACTATAAACCGGGAGTAACGAAGCAAGTAATACCGGGCCACATGTTGCCATCTACGCACACCACATGGCGGAGGTTGAGATAGCGAGCGCTGCGATGAGCAAGCCACTCAGTGGCCGGCTATCAGATACAGATACAGATACGCACATCTCTCGGCAAACACACAGGCACAGAAACTCACACACAACGCAGGGAGGTGCCACAAACAAATAAAAGAGTGACTCTTTTTTCGCAGTCTTTTAGTTTTGTTTTTTAGGTAACTCAATTTAAAATGAACACTTCCATTTTGTCAAAACTTTAATCAAAAAAATATTTGATGCCTTGAACATTTTCTAATATATTTTACACTTTTAGAATAATATATTTTCTCATATATCCTTATTGAGAACCTAGAATTAAAATAGGTGGGAAATAAAAAAATCAATAAGTTTGTATTTAGGCTGAAAAAATAAGGCAAATACAAGTTTAGATAAAGAAATAGTATAAAAAAATAATATGAAGAAATTTATAAAAATAAATACATTTTTAGTAATAAAAATAATAAGAAGAAAATAAATAAAAGTAAACAAAAAGAGACAAGATACATTTGTTGAATCTTATAACTTTCTCTCATATTTTGGCAGTTATTTTTTGTTTTTCCGATAAGCTTTTACAGGAAATTCTCCGCGATCACCGTGACCGTTCGCCGGAGTCACGATCGCATTCGCAGCGCACGCAGACCAGCTGCGGCGAGCTGAAAAGTATCTCAGAGATACTTTCGCAGCAAAGGTGGTCGGTCGGCTCGCTCTCGACGCTCTCGCCGTCTCTCGTGTTTTTGGATCGGTTCGGTTATTTCTTGTACGGATTTCAAACTTATTCGACGATTGTTCTTTGCACCGGGCCCAAAACAAGCACGCTCCGTCAAAGAAAAATTCAAGTAAAAAGCGAAAATGAGAAGCGCAACAGTTTGTTAAGTAAATTAATTCATCGTTTTGAGCGAAAAAGTGAAATTGCATATTATGAAATTGGTTTAATAACAAGTGCTGCTCACATTTTTTTTTAATTTTTTGTGCGTGTTTGCCAGTGTTTTATTATCTTCGACCTTTGCGAACTTATCGTCGTAACCAGGAAAAAACAAAAACAAAAAATATAAAAAACAGCAATGACAACAACAACTGGGGCTAATAATAATTAAACAGCGTGTGTTGTTGTGTGCTCACTAAGCTGCCAGTGTGTGCGTGACCAAGTACCCAGCGGGAAAAAGATGTGGAAAATATGCTATTTTTCAGTGGTTTCTTCATACAAGCGGAAGGGCAAAAACCTCCTTCACCCCTCACATTTTTGCCGTCTCTCCTTTCAAAATACACGGGGGTGACACACAAAAGGAAGGGGTAAAGGAGGTTTGCAGGCCAAAAACCTGTGGATGCTCTGGCTGCTGAAAGCAGGGCAAAATCCAGTGGACCTACGGCTGCTGATTGCAGGGCAAAATCCACTGGACCTACGGCTGCTGAATGCAGGCCAAAATCTACTGGGTTTTGGCCTTCCCGCTTTACAGAATTTCCACATGTAAAAAACAATACTTTTTAATTTGGTATATGCATTTATTAATCTATATACAGTCCAAGGGCCTTTGTCATAAGTATTTTTGTATATTATATTTTTTGCCTCAGTGAACGATGAACGCAGATCATCTTGATATTGGCGAAGACTGTAATTGTCGTTTCTGAGTGACTCTGAAAATAAAAACCATAATATATTAATATATAACATATTAATACAAATCAAAAAATATATAAAAAGTATTGGGAAAAATAGATAAATTTTGAAAAACAAGTATACTTACCATACAGTACTTTGGAGAAATTATTATATGAGTTGAAAAAAAATGTAATTACATAGTAACAAGCATGGCTATTGAAATTTATTAAAAATGTAGTGAGTACTTACAAATGCTTCTGGATTGGCTTCGGCATCGGAGTCCAAGTGGCCGAGTTCTTCAAATGACGAAATCGAAATGTCCGCTTGCGCACGTTCAGATTTGCCATTAATATTGACATATGGGCCAGAATCTTTGATGTCGAATCTATTACAAATTTTATGAAAAGAAACATTTGTTTGTTCTTGTGAAATTGAAAAATAAATTTAAATAAAAAACTTACTTACTTACTTGACAACCGCCTCTGGCGGCTAATATTTAGTTTTCGTAAAAATGCTTATGTTCACCATATCCGTAACGCTGAAATAAGGATATACAAACAAAAATATTTATGTTATAACTTACCTTTATCTTGTTTTTTAGAATAAACTTAACTTTTTTTCACTTTTGACACATTTTGCACGACATTTTATACTGATGTGACCGTGCATATTCTGAAGAAAGACAATAATTAGTCACAACTTCGTTGTAACTTAAGGTCATATTCAGAAACCCACCCCATTTAGCGGTCCGAAATTTTCTACTCCTACCCCTACGCCTGCTAAAAGAAGCAGGTTTTCAAGTACTCTAAAAACCTCCTTCCCACTTTCCCGCTGGGTATCTGTGAGATAGTATCGGTGTTTCTTTTTTTATGTGTGCATGTGTGTGTGTGTGTGTTGTCTTGCCGCGGAGAAGTCCAATTGTCAACAGTCAACAATTGCATACATCTAACTCGAGAGCCTCCAATTTCCAAAGGGAAAGGAAGCACTTAAGACCCATATAGATATATAGATATATGTATATATATTCATAACTCCACGATCCGATCATCCGATCGATGCGAATTGCATGGGTCCAACCAGCGGACAGTCAGAACACAGTGAAAACGGCGAAAAAGAGGAAAAAGTGCTAACCCAGCGATCGACGACGGCAACTCGATCGGTCAGAGGAACAGGTGAGTTGGGTTGAGTTGAGTGTAGTATAGTCTGGGTTGAGCACTATATAGTGTGTTAAGTACCGTTGAGTGCTTCCATTAAGGTCGATACCTGAGCCCTGCACATGGCAATACAACCCCGATATCTGTAACTCTCTGGCTTCATTGAAAGAAACGAAGTATTTTGCATGTGTTATTAATAAATGGAAATACAAGAGATCTAAGGAAACGTGGTTAAAATAATTATAGTTTAATAATTCCAATAATCCAGCAAGAAATTCCTATTAAATTCAAGAGTTCACCAATAAAATGTCAAACTCAATGATTTGCAAAATCAGTCTGTTATCAAATTCATTCACCTCGCATTTCGCTCAACATTTAATACTTGCATACCAAGATCTATTCTGAAATCGTTTACTATGCGAAACGATTTAATTTTTACTACAATGATTTCAATTTTGATTTGCGGCAAAAACGTACTATCAAGAGCGAAACTCACAGCCTCCAGTAAAAAATGAGGAGGGAAGAAATGAAACAACCTCAGACTTGCTTAAATGCCTCAAGTTGCTGTCAAGGTCCGAGAATCCGAGAGTACGAGAATCTGAAACGAGACTCGAACACTTGGGCATTAAAAAGTTCATTAAACGAATCGAGTGCGTCTGCCTGGATTCCTATACCCTTCCACCGGCCAAGCTGATAATTCCCAGGCAGATAAGCCCTGGCGAAAAAAAAGAGAAGAACAGAATTTCAATAAATCAAGGCGGCATTAGGAGCGTTTCATTATCGCGAGGGGGAAATCGCTCGATAGAGAGGATAGAGTAGAAAGAACAAGTTGGCTGGAGATCGGTGTGGCAAACAGCGGCGGAGGTTGCATAATACCAAACACACACGCACTGACCACCAAGATCGCACCTGTACAGGTGGGTCAGCCAATGGAAGGAAGGTCAGCCAGGTGGCGTGCAAAACGCTTGTGCGTCAAGACCATGCCAATCTACACGGAGAGAAACTAACCCTTGCAAACTGGATATTCAGTCAGAACAAATAAACACAAATTTAAATATTTAACGAACAAAACCTTAATATATTTTGTTATGATTAAATACATGTTGAACCGAAAGGTAATAGGTTTTATTTAACTCTCTCAAAAAATCTTTACGAGCAAAGTTTAGTATTTATTTATTTAAACTGAGAGCTGTTATGTGGCAAACAATAAATTTATTTTGGATATCATATTATTATTAAAATGTGTGCCAAAACTGATACAATACCTCTTTTTCTTACTTCAAACTTTTTGCTAATTTCATAATTTTTTGTAGTTTAAAACGTGTTTGTAGCGCGCAATATGAAATACACGATTTTGATATTATGTTTTAGGATCAGATGCCTTTCAAAATGAGTGGCGAACAGCAAATAGCGAATCAAATCGCAACTTATTTTTCTATTTAACCAAGAGCTAATGGAATGGCAGCGCCTTCCGTTTATTTCTAATGTGTGCTCCAGTTTACGTTTGCCGGCCTTTGATTTGTAAACCAAATAGTTTCCCGAGCTGTTTGTTTATTTGATTAGCATTCGGTTATGTGCGATGGCGATGGGATTTGAGTGGGTATGGAAATGGGAATGGGATGCGATGGAGCACTTCTCCAGATCCGTAGACTCTTCGAGACTCTCGGCAAGGTGTCCGTTGAGCTCTAGATTCCAGACTCGGACAGTCCAATTGTGAGTGCGATGATGCTTAATTTACCGGCTACCCGCCAACGCAATCGTCTCAATTTATATATAGACTTAGTTCCTCGACGGCACCCCGCAAAGTCTGGCCAGATTTAGTTTGGCGTTTATTATTATTATTTCAATTCCGATCTCGGCTCAAGTGTCCGCCGCTCTCGAAGATCGCCGTCCGGGGGAATCGGGGGGAATCCGAGGAAGTCCGAGGCTCTTGGAAAACAACTCCACTCCACTTCACTCCACATTGCGGCACGAACTCAAATATTTGCGGAACCACTGCAACATCGAATTTCGATTTTACTTTCGCTGCAAGTGGAGCTGAACCCAACCCAAAGGTACTTCAATGGAGGAATCACATTTCGGGGAAAACAAACGATTCCCATGACTCAATCAACGATTGGCCAAAGTTGCTGGCTGCGTTCTTGTATTTTGAAACATTTTCGAACCGCAGGGAAACAAAAGGGATGCCTTTTGGGATTATCTTATGTAAATATGTAATATATTTTTGTTATCAGCCTTTTATTAATGCATTTTAATAATGCAAATGCAATAAACTTTGTACATATTCAATGCGAAGTTGAGTTGATTTTGTATTGCCACTAAAGTTAACCCACTTCACTTTACATTTACCAATAGTGTATTTCAATAAGATTTGTTTTAAGGAGATTTGTTTTTTTTTTACTAAGCATTATAAAATCTATCTGTTCCATTAAAGGGAAAATTATTCAAGAGTTATGGTTAGTTTAAATTTGCCAGTAATTGCGGTTGAACTCAGGAGATATTTTCACGAGAACTAACATATTTGTTTACTTCTTTTTAAGTTAATGTTTTTTTTTGGGTATAGTATTTCTGTTCAGATCGGCAATATTTCCGTCTGCTCCGGCACGTGGCACTTATCAACACAAGTTTCCCTTTTTCTCCCCACATTTTCACACGCAGAGATTTCCATGAACGGAATTAACTAAATCGACGGATTTGGGTTCGGATAGCCACGGATATTACAATGATGTTCCAGCACACGATGACGAAGCGCAAGACGCTGATCATCGCCTGTTTCGGAATTGTTTTGGGACTGTGCATCGGGACCGTGCTGAAGAACTACCGGGCACTGGAGATCGTGAAGCGGTGCAGCCTGCGACCCACGAACTTGAAGTCGCCGGCGGAGATAATTGGACTGCGGGAGGAGGACACCATCCAGAACTCGCAGAGGAACCTCGTCTTCGTGGGCGTGATGACGGCCAAGAGCTTCCTGGAGGGCAGGGCACGAGCGGTCTACGATACGTGGGGCAAGGAGGTGCCGGGACGGATGGCCTTCTTCAGTTCGGAGGGCAGCTACTCGGAGGACCTCCCGGTGGTGGGACTGAAGAACGTGGACGATCGCTATCCGCCGCAGAAGAAGTCCTTCATGATGCTGTACTACATGTACGAGCACTACATCGATCGGTTCGAGTGGTTCATCCGGGCGGACGACGACGTCTACATGGAGCCGGCCAAGCTGGAGCGCTTCCTGCGCTCCATCGACAGCTCCAAGCCGCAGTTCATCGGGCAGGCGGGCAAGGGCAACAGCGAGGAGTTCGGCCTGCTCTCCCTGGAGTTCGACGAGAACTTCTGCATGGGCGGGCCCGGGGTGATCCTCAGCAGCGAGACGCTCCGCCGCGTGGCGCCCCACATCCCCACCTGCCTGAAGAACCTCTACAGCACCCACGAGGACGTCGAGGTGGGCCGGTGCGTCCAGAAGTTCGCCGGCATTCCCTGCACCTGGAACTACGAGGTGGGTGCTTCTATATTCGGATGGTTTACTACTCCTAAAAGTACTTTAATTATTATAAAAGAAAGATTCTACATTTAAAAGACATAAACAGAGATCCCCAAGTATACATATTAAATAACTTAATTAATTAAAACGAGTTCTTCAACTTCTTTAAAAACTTATTTGTTCTTGTAAACTTAAAGTGCTCTAGTATAAAATGATTTTTAAATTCAAAAGTATATAGATTATCTACAAACAATATTTATTTGATTGCCAAAGCCATAAACATTTCGCAGAGCTAATATATTTTAAAATATTCACATTAATTATTATATGAGGTAGTTTTCAATATTTTATTTCCTTTTTATTAACGTCTCACCTATACGCTTGAATATTATTTTAATATTTATGACCAACTAAAACGTCTTAATTTTTTTTTATTGTTATATTATTCTATTCCATTTTACAGATGCAGTACATCCTGCGGCACAACTCGAGTGGCCGAAATGCCTACACTGGAAAACTGAAGCGGAAGGAGATCCACAACGCCATCACCCTGCATCCGATCAAACAGGCGCCACTCATGTACCGACTCCACTCCTACGTTCAGGTGAAATAACTCACTATCCTATAGAAGCATTAAACACAATCTTAAGTTCATATAAAATCCAATATTATCCAAAATCAGGGCCTGAAAGCCGAGGAGATGCGACAGGAATCGCTGCTCCTGCATCGGGATATCAAGCGGATGGCCAAGTACCTCGAGGTTCCCGACGAGAGCACCTACATGCTGCCCAGTGTCTCGCCGGAAAGCGATTCGGGCAAGAGGCACTTCCAGGACCACAACATATTGGGTAAGTCCAGAGGGATAAACATAATCCTTTCGTTTTCAGAGGGAAACGATTCAAAGCAATTTACTTAAAACAATTAACGAGTAGTAACAGAAATTTACACGCATGCGATAATCTAAAGGGGAACAGGCTTCGCATCCTGGTTCCGGTTGCAGAGGGTGACTCCTCTGCCCAAACAGGCGGCGTAGCCCATCAGGTGGGGCAGCAGGTTCTGCTCCATGATGCCGCCAAAGAGATGCGACTGCGGTCCCATCGCAAAGACAGCCACATCCTCTCCAGAGTGAACGCCCTTCCGTCCGGAAATGTAACTCGGAGTGTAGGAGGCTGTACAGCGAAAACCAAGGAGTTATTTGTTTATATTAAGGATAGATTATCCAAAGATAAAGAAACTAAACCAAGAAAATAGTAAACTCAAGTTCTGAACAAAGTTATTTTGAATATAACAATTTAAGACCATTTGCTATATATTCAAAATACTTTTTGGAAAAGAAAAAGTTATTTTTACTTTTAAAGCTTTCATAAATCTAAATCGAATTTTCGAAAACGTATCCTTTTTTTAAGTATGTATACAAGTTTAAAAGAGTTAATGAAACTCCTTGCTGCATTCAAAACTATTTTAGATGTACTAGTTAATTCGCTTGTTCAAGAATGCATTTCCCAAGATGTTTTTCAGAGTAAAGGTTCTCCTGAATGTAAAGGTTCTTCAAGATCTCTTTACCCCACTTTACTCACTTGGACTCAAAGTCTTGCTGGGACTCTCCCTCCTTCCCTCCTTGTCGAGGCTCTGCCACTTGCCAATGGCGTAGTTCAAAGTGCTGTAGGGAACTCCATTCAGGTCCTTCTGGTGGTCGTCCATGCCCAGGATGGAGGTGCCCCGCTTGGCGTATCCCGCCATGCTAAGAGTGTGCGAATGGTCAGCGGTGAACACGACCAGGGTTTCCCTCGGGTCAATCATCTTGAGCACCGCTTCCACTGCCGCATCGAGCTCGAGCATCTCATCCAGGGCGTAACCCACTCGCGTCTCGTGGTGTCCATGGTCGATCCTCCCTCCCTCGATGAACACAAAGTAACCACTTCCGTCTCCACTTTCCTGTGACTTCCGCTCCAGCTTCTCAATGGCAGCCACTGCCATTTCGGAGAGTCTCGGCTGATCCTTGCTGGCTGCCAGGTGGTACGACATGTGGTTGTCACTGAAGAGTCCCAGCAGCTTGCCCGTTGCCCCGCTGCAGTTCCTCAACTCTTTCAAGGATCGCGAGAGGCAGCCCTTCGGATTGGATTGCCGCCACTGCGCGAGGAGATCCTTGCCATCGCGACGCTCGCCGGCGAACTTGCCGAAGCCGCCGCCCAGGATCACCTCCAGGCTCCTGCCCGGCTCCTCCTCCACCAGCTGGCGGGCGATCTCCAGCTCCTCGCCGCGTCTTCGAACATGGGCATAGGCTCCCGCGGGACTGGCGTCCGTCAGCCGGGTGGTGGTCACCACACCGGTCGCCTTGCCCGCCCGTTGCGCCCACTGGATCACGGAGTCCACCCGCTCGCCACTGGCACTCTGACCCACCGTGCCACCCTGGGTCTTCACGCCGCCCAGGTAGGCGGTGGCCGTGCAGGCGGAGTCCGGCGTCTGCTCGTCGACGCAGTACGTCTTGGTCAATCCGGCGAAGGGGAATCGCTCCACGGCCAACCGAGCCTCCTCTCCGCGTCCTCCGCTTCGCTGACCCTTGAGGATTCGGGCAGCCGTAAGAGTGGTAAGCGATAGTCCGTCGCCCATTAACAGCACGACATTCTTGGCCCGTCGCACATCCGTGATGGAATCCTTAAACCTCGCCAAACGTTCGCGTAACGAATCCTGCGCCTGGCGAAGCCAAAAGGACGACAGCTGCTCCCCAGCCGGTTGTTCCACGGTGGCCCGAGATTCCACCAGGCTGACGGGGATCAGGATCAGGGGGAGGAGGAGCAGCAGGATCGGCATTTGCCTGGCTGGGAGCAACATCTCGATCCGGGTTTTCTCGCCGGGGCTAACCGAATCCCACTTGAGTGCTCGCAATGTCAGACTTTCGTTTTAAAGGGCGACTCCGTTGGAAAGTTTATCTAATGCCTAAGTGGGACACCTCATGGAGCGACATGGAAACATTAGCAACCAATTAGCCACAGCACGAGTTCGAGAGACTCCGTAGATAAGCTCTATTTAATGTGGGTGCTGAGTCACAAAATGGATTCAAGGGAAAAGTCGCTGAATATTTAATCTAACAAGATGCTATTTTAAATAGAAGAACATAAAAAGATTTTAAGAAACGTATAAATATTTATATAAATAAATTACATTATCTTATTTTTATAACCTAATACTTTACTTTCCCTTATACTTAATTTAATACTTCTCCTAATATTTACATTAATCTTTACCTTAAGACTTCCCTTATTAGTTAGCCTAATACAGACCTTACTTCTTATCCTATTATTTTAATGCTTACCTCATCCACAGGAATCAGTCCGGAGTTAAACAAATTCGTGCCGGGGAGCACCGAGGACCTGCTGGACTGGTCCTTCATCGCCAGGAGCCTGTACTCGGCCAGCTCGGCCAATCCCAAGCAGAAGATCGACTCGGCGATGCGGGAGGGACTCGAGGACGTCATCACCGAGGTGATGGAGAACATCAACAACTATTCCCGGCAGCGGGGACGCGTGATCGAGTTCCGGGAGCTGCTCTACGGCTACCATCGGCTGGACGCCCTGCATGGCCAGGACCTGATCCTCGACCTGCTGCTCATCTACAAGAAGTACCGCGGCAAGAAGATGACGGTGCCGGTGCGAAGGCATCTCTACGTGCAGAGGGCATTCACCGGGATCTTCGTCAAGGAGGTCGACGAGGACTTCTACAACGTCACCCTGCAACAGAGTGAGTGGGATTATTAGTTCATTTGTATACCCTTGCAGGGGGTATTATAATTTCAGTCATTGTGAAGTATCAGGCGAACAGAAAGCCACAGTACCCATCGAATTTCTTGCTTTTTCTTAGAAGTACGCTACACTTTTTTATGGAAAATTTCCACAATTAAAACTGCCATCTAATGAGTTCTGTTCGCCTGGTATTTGAAATCTAAGAGCTCCAATCGCTCTTGTCAAAACGATTTCTGAAGTACCAGGCGAACAGAGAGCTATAGTAGGGTGCTACTATTAAATTTTTTTATTTACAATTTCCACAATTATATCACCTTTGACATCCACATGGGAATTATTGGGGAAATGGGAGCATTTGTATATTTTTTTATTAAGTAGGAAACTTAAGATTTGGTTGTGCTGAAATGAATTTTTTAGAGAACAATTTCTCAGCAAGAATTCTTCAAAAATACAGAAACACAAAATATGATATCTCAGGACCTTACAAATTTATATTGATGGAATTGCTTTTTGAAGCACCTTTTTTAATACTTATTGAACACCCCTTCCTTCCTGGCTCCACTCAGGTCTCCTGGGCAGCCTCTTCCAGAACGGAATGGCCCGGCTGAGCAGCCACTTCACGATGCCCAGCGGACTGCTGCCGCCGACGCAGGACAAGATCGTGTTCGTCCTGCCGATCGCCGGTCGGCTGGGAACCTTCGAGCGATTCCTGCGCACCTACGAGCGGGTTTGTGTGCGCGGGGATCAGCACTGCGACCTGCTGGTGGTGATCTTCGGCTCCCCGGACGAGCTGGGCGATCATCTGCAGCTGCTGCACGACCTGCACGCCCGCCATGTCTACCAGCAGGTGAACTGGATCCAACGGAGCAGCGCCTTCTCGCGCGGCGTGGCCCTGGATGTGGCGGCCAGGTCGTCGTACATCCGGCAGGAGGACATCATCCTCTTCATCGACGTGGACATGGTGTTCGAGGTGGAGACCCTGCAGCGGGTGAGGATGCACACGCAGCGCGGCAAGCAGGTGTACCTGCCCATTGTCTTCAGCCAGTACGATCCGCAGAGGAGGAGTGGCGGTGAATCCACTTCCGGTGAGGGGGAATCCCCAAGGATCGACGACGAGCGTGGCTACTTCCGGCAGTTCGGATTCGGCATTTGCGCCATTTACAAGTCGGACATTCTGGACGAGGACATCAACGGGTTCGACAAGGACATCACTGGCTGGGGCCTGGAGGATGTCAAGTTCCTGGAGAAGATCGTGCGAGTGGGCACCAGGCAGAGGGGCTTCCTGGCCAACACCGCCGAGCTGGCGATGGATTACAACGAGGCCGCCGAACAGTGGCGACGCCTGAGCGTTTTCCGAGCTCCCGATCCCACGCTGGTCCACATCTACCACGACATCAGCTGCGATGTCCAGTTGGACGCACCGCAATACAACATGTGCCTGGGCACCAAGGCCAATTCGATTGGTAGCACCAGGCTGATGGAGCAGCTGTTCCACAGCAGTCCGCAGAACGTCCAGTTTGCCGCCGACTTCAATCTCCAAAAGCAACAGCAGCAGCAACAGCCGCAACAGCAGCAAGCGCAGCAGCAGCAGCAGCAAGCGCAGCAGGCCAGGTGATGACTCAAGTGATCCCATCCATATCCAGTGATCCCCGCCAGCGATCCTGCCACATAGTATTATGCTAGATGTTTCCTAAACGAGTGCGTGTAAGCCAGTCGGTATGCCAAATCAATTCGTTAGTCCCTACTACTAAGCTAGACTAACTAATTCTAGAAGGTTAAACAACTTGTACATTTGTAGGATGAAATATAGCTACCGATCCAAAATTTAAGTAGCGTAATTATACAAAAATAATCGTTATTGATAACATAAATTAATAATATTCACTAGATAGTTTGTATATACTTGCATTAATACAAATTAAATTACTTTTTAACTACAGGTCACGAAATCGATGTTTCCAATTTAAATCAAAATTGAGTTATTCGATAAGAAAACTTGCATGGAAATTAACAAAAATAAATTGCATGAACAGTAAATATTTAACATTATTATCCAAAGGCAATTTAAAATAAAATAAAAGCTTAAAGCCCATTATACAAAGGTGAAAGAAATGCATTATTGTAACTGATAATTAGGAGCTTACTTTTGTTGACTTAATTAGGAATACTATTTTCCAAAAACCAAAAATGTGTTAACATGCATTCACAAGTGAACTGAACACTTGATTTTCCATTTAAATAAACGACTTAATTTAAAAAAAAATTGTCTTTATTTTTCATCGTTTGAATTTCGTAATTCAATTACATTAAACGTAAAATGACTCGGAGGATTTCTGCATCCAGCATATTTCTATGATTTCTTTATATCACATGGTTCTTTTATTACTGTTTAGACAGTATTCTATTGTCCTCAACATATAAATATTATCTGATTGAGCCTCCCGATAAAGGTTCTCAACGTCTATATATAGTCCACCGGTTCTATGCCGAGCAGGGATAAAGCTAAATTAAGGACCTGCCGCATGGCCATGACGAGGTATACCCTGGCATACACAATCGGCATCAGGTGGGGGCGATTCTGGAGCAGCACCTTTTTGTCGTGATAGTAGCGACTGAAAGCGCTCGCCAGATTGTCGGTGAAGTGCACAAGCAAATGGACGCCACACAGACCCTTTCGAACTTGGGCCATCACCGTTTCCAAAACCTCTGGGAACTTCAAGAGGTGAACATATATCAACTCCCAGTCGATCTAAAAAGGGGGTTTAAAACAATTAAAATAGGCTGTACTTAAGAACAAGAAACAATCCGCTTACATCACCATCCAGAAAGCTGCAATCGATGGCCTCCAAAGGCGGGAGTGGGTCGTAGGTTTTGTCCTGCACCAGAGTAGCAAAGTTGCGCAATAGGGTCTCCACTCTCGCCGAGTTGTATAGGATGTGGGATGCCCCCTTGGTGCTGCCCTGTCCATTTCGCACCACAGTGGCGGCGGTGCCGTGGCGCACCTCGAAGAGATCCACGATCACGGCAGCATGCCCCAAGCGATACATGAGGGCGTCCATCTTGCCCATGTCATCCGGTCGATATCCATCGCGGTGCATGGCACTCAGTCGCATGTGAGTGGAGCGCAAGCTGCATTGAAAAAGAAAGAGAGGGATAGAGTGGAATTGGAGTTATTTATTAGTTTAACAAACTGTTTATTTACTCACCCCAAATATTCCCCAATCGTCAGTTTGGTGGCTGTCTTCTTTACGGGCTCCAAGACCGGACCGCTGACGAGGCAAACATGCTCCTCTTGCCGCTGCTTGCTGCATTTCTCTGGCTCGATGGCCATCCAGAGGGTGTCCTCCTTACGGGCCTCCACATACTGGTACGATGAGTATTCGATCAGCCGGCGTACGATGTTGTGAAGCTGCTGCAGGCGATACTGGCGCATTGGCAGGGCGCAATCGGTGGCACCCGCAAAGGGTTTCACCTGCAGGCCAATCGTGGGCGATTGCTCTGTCTTTTGGGGTCGTCCGTAGCCGAATCCCTTGGCAAGAATGTCATTCAGAACATAGCGGATGACCGTACGGCGGTCGAAGTGCAGGACATAGCGGCCTTTGTCGATCGGGCCCACTTCACAGAGTGGCAAATGCCAATGCTGGGACGCGGCAATCAACTCCCGGCAATGCTCCTGGTCGGCCAGCAGTGTATCCGCGTTGCGGCGCAGCTTTCCCTGCTGCTCCGCAGCGAATTTCTGCCAGTAAAGAGGGGTGGCTGCTAAGCTTATGTCTCCGGTCTGCGAGAGGCGCTCCCGGTGGTACCGGACAATCTCGCCACATTTCTTCAATGAAGGCACCACATCACCGGCTGCCTCTTCGTTCGGTTTGATAAAGAAAGCCACGAGCTGCTGGTGAAACTGTGACAGCGGATTGTAATCCATTTTGATTACACCTATACAAATCAAATTAATCCCAAATTTCCTTGTACACCTTCCTTTCTATGGGCGCGAAACTAAACGACACGATGCTCAGTTTCTGTAATTAAACTGTCCTTCTTTACTAGGAGAAAATTAGGATTTCCTCTTAGGAAAAGAAGAAAACGAATGATTAGGAAAGTTCAACACAGTTCCTTTTAAAGTACAATTTTGACACTTTAAGAACGAATTTTGTCCTGGACAACGTGATATTTTTTTTGTTTAAATAATTGTATCGATAACCGATAGGAGTATTGACAGAGGTGGGCAGTATTAGCAACCAACTTAATACTATGGATATTATACAAAACTTTTTATACTCCAATTTTATACTGCAGGTATTTAAATGTTCGGTTTTTTTAAGCCAGCTTTTATAATATATTTTTTTTAAATATATATCTTAAATATCTTAATATTTAACCGATAGGTGCGGGAGCCCCGTCAGCTAGTTTGACGTACCGAAAAGCACACAACTGTCATCTCTAACACAAACGAAGTGTTCTTTTTGGCTGCGCGTGTTTGTATTTTTGGCCCCAGCTTGCGGAACAGCTAAAGTCCAGCTTACGCCCAAGTTCCGAGAAAATGGCCAACACCGTAGAGCGGGTGGTGGACCTGGGCGTGACCTGCCTGGTCTGTTTGATGGAGGCGCCCGGGTCGAGCTCGATTTATGGCCACGACCCGGAATCGCCGAACATGCTTATTCTGGACAAGATCCGCTCATGCACCGGTCTGCAGCTGGTTGGCAGTCCGGCACAGGTGGAGCGCTGGCCCAATAAGATCTGCAAGCAGTGCTACCTAGAGTTATCTATCAGCTATCGTTTCCACGAAAAGTGCGCCGCCGTCCAGAAGTTATTCCACTCGGCCAGAGACGGCGTCTTCTCGCCCTCGCTTTCCGCCTCCATTTCGCTAATGCTCGACGAGCAGCAGGATCAGCTCAAGCTGCACCTCGAGCAGGCTAATGTTCGCCTTCCGGCCACACTGAAGATCAAGCGGCTGAACATGGGGCCCTGCTCCTCGAGCTCTGTTAGCAGTACAATAACCACCGCCACTGAGCCCTCCTATTACCAGGATGTCGAGGAGGTGGAGGAAGCAGACGCCCTCACCCTGCTGCCGGACGGAGCCATGGTTCTGACCCTGGACGATATAGAAGATCAAGATCCCATCAAAGAGCAGCCCGAAGATGAGGAGTCCGTCAAGCATGAGGAAGAGCAGCAGGAGATAGAGCAGACGGCGGAGGAGGAGGGGGAAGTAGAACAGCACAAGATGCTGGGTCTGGATCCCTGGGATGTCGACCACACACCGGAGCATCTGTACGAGATTGAGACGCCGCTGATTGAGGAGTGCGTGGTGGACAGTCCTCCGTTGCCACCGCCTCCGCCCACCAATCAGCCAAGGAAGCGCACCTACCGTCGCGTCTCACCGACTGTGAAGAGGGAAAGGGTCCCGGCAGCTGATTTGGACGAGGATTACAAGCCCGCTCCTACGACCAAGCGCCGTTACTCGGAGCGTTCACCGAAAATCTGCGATGTGTGCGGGAATACGTACAAGTACCAGCACGCCCTGAATGCCCACATGCGGCGGCACAACAACGAGCGGCCTTATTCCTGCGAAGTGTGTCAAAAGGCGTTCGTCTCGAACGTCGAGCTGCGCCGCCACATGCGTGTCCACACCGGGCAGAAGCCGTACGGTTGCGGCTACTGCGCGCGTCGCTTTTCGGATTTTGGCAGCAGCAAGAAGCACGAGAGGATCCACACCGGCGAGCGGCCGTATGTGTGCGAGGTGTGCCAGAAGGGGTTCGCCTACGCCCACGTCCTGTCCGTCCATCGGCGGACGCACTCCGGCAAGAAGCAGTTCCAGTGCACGCAGTGCGAGAAGGGATTCACCAAGAAGAGCTATCTGTCGGCGCACATGGACCTGCACGGCGGCGACGCATCCGGATCTTCGGCCTCCGCTGAGGGATCTTCTCGTAGTCTGCGTTTGCCCACTAAAAAAGAGAATGCTTCGAGGGAGCCTGTCCGCAAACCAGTTCCCGAGGCGTTCTCGCTGGATTCCGTGGTGCTTGGTGAGCAGGCCAAAGTTCTGGAGGAATGCATCGTTGCGAATGATTTCATGTTCAACGAGGAGGACCACATCGAGGAGGGGCACGAAACCGAGGAGGACGAGGAGCTGGAGCACGACGAACCGTATCCCGAGCCAGACTTCGACGACGTCGATGGCTATCAGACTGTACGCTGCAAGGAGTTCGTTGGCAATCTGCTCGACCCCGAGGAGTTTGGCAACATGATAGACTAGTATTACCCTTTGGACAACTCTTCACTTTACTAAGGGGCTGTCCTCACATGGCGACATCAAAGTGATTGCTTGTGCAGAAGAACACAAAATAATAAATGTTTGGTCACAGGAGTAATAATACCCCGTAATTATTAAGAAATATATGGAGGGATCCAGAAGTTTCGAAACTTAATTCTAAGCCCCGAGAAATCGTTGTAAATAAAATGAGGGAGATATTCAATTATACAATATTGGCGGTTTTAATGGGAATCTATTATCTATGGAAGCTTCATTTCAAACTTAATGGCTCTGGTGCAGATTGCTTGATAAATTAAGGTTAAATAACACAAAGCAATAAGAATTTCTTCGGGAAAGCGAAATTATTATAAATATATTTCACTATTTTATTGGTTTATTATAAATTGCATTCAGTAATCTGCAAAACATACATACATCTGGATTTTGAAGGCTATGGCCAAAACCCAGACTTGGTTTTGCATGCCTCACTTTTCTTCGAGGCACGTATGTACTTATGTTCAACTATAAAAAGAAAAACAATTGAAATTGTTTCCAAGCAAACTGTGTAAACAAAAAGCCCGGAAAGATGCTGTTTAGAGCGAAAGAAGACTGAAAGGTTTGTGCCACGAAATCGAATTTTCGGATACCCAAAACAACTGTGCAAACCGGGCACAGTGAACACCCAGTAAGAGAGACGATTAAATTCTATCTAGTTTATTACATTAATCGCGGGTTAGTCAAGTTAGTTAGACTCACAACGTGGACTTTTGTGACCATGTTTGGGGGGATAATTGTTCTAGGGTGGTTCGACCACTCTGGCCAGTGGCGACTGTGGCGAGGTTCTCTCGAACCGGTTTTGGCGGATCACTCCGGCGGGGTCAACGCTTCGCCCTTCGGCGGACACCGGGGCATTAACATAATTCATAGTTTAGTCGGTGTACAAAAAATATCTATATATATATATAAATATCAAAATTTAGACGGTAGGGCGAGGGATAAGGATCGGTTTTACACAAACACACAACAGACTTCAGATGGAACAATAAAACTTGAACATCGCAACGGCGGCGGCTAGTCCTCGAAGGTGATGCGACCAGGTCCGTGGTTCTTCATATAACGCCTGTAGGCCTTGTAGCGCGGATTTTCCGCGAGCTTCTTCTTCATCTCCTCGTCCTGTTCCGCCTTCCAGGCATCGAAATTGTCGCGCTTCCACAGCTCCAGATGCAGGTATTCCTCGATGAGCTTGTCATCCTGCGCCTCGAACTGATGCTGGCCCATGCCCAGGTTTCTCCTAATGATGTAAAGCTTTTGCTCCCGCCCGTACGGCTGCTTCATCACCGTGTAGCGCCAGAACCACTGGGCATGCCAGACGATAAACGCCAGTATCGTGTACGGGCAGATGATCAGCTGCACCCACAGCACATCCCACAACGTGGGCTTCGCATAGCCGCCCTTCACGTCCATCTTCTCCTCGATCACCCGCCGAATGATCCGCTCGAGCTCCTCTCGCTGATCGTTCTTTGACATCCGGTTCTTGCCCTTCTTCTGTATCCTCTCCTGAATCTCGTCGCGGGCAATGTCTAGCGCCTGATTTCTATATTTGGGCACCGTGGCAAAGTACTTGATGGCCGAATCATAACGCTGCCAGCCGGAATAGTATTGAATGACGGACACAATAGTCAGCACCACCACGATCACCACACGCACATCCACCTTGGGCGCCACGCGTCGCCGGTAGTAGCGATAGTAATGCGCATAGTATGCATCCGGGTTGTCCAGCATGTAGTCGTAATCCGTGCGCGACTCCTCGTCCCGCAGGATTTCGTAAGCGGTGGCCACTAGTTTGAACTGCGTCTCTGCTGTCGCCTTCGCTTCCGCACCGCGATGCAGATCCGGATGATAGCGTCGGGCCAGTTGACGGTAGGCTTTGCCGATCTCTGACTTGGACGACTCCCTGGTGACTCCCAGCACGTCATAGCAGTTTTCCTTGCCACAGTACAGGCCCTCCAGCAGACCGAGGGCCATCGAGGGCAGTAGGACCAGGAGCACCAGGAGCAATCCCTGCGACTGCATGTTGGATATTTCGCTTTCACCTGAGACACGTGGAGCTGCGGGGAGGAGATGTAGAGGTGGAGCACAGCTGGCACTGCTCGGTTGGGATTGGATTGGAGCAACTGGTGGCGGTCGCGTTGGCGCTACTCGTCCGTCTGCTCGCCGTCTGTCCCGCTGCGAATTTGGCCCGCTGGTTAACCAGGTTAGCTTCTGCCGATAACGCCGATAACACTATTGTCAAGGTTCTTTCGCCGGTAAGTGTGACCGTTTTGCCGCAGCAATGGACTCACAGTCACTATATTACTTAAACGGATATTACGATTTTTGGGTTACTAAAAGTTAATTTTTAACAGCTTACAAAAGGCAGCTAAAAAAAAGTGTAAGCAAACGAATAACACAATGGAGTACTTTGAATTTGGCCAAGAATAATATTTTCAAACTTGACTACCCATTCACTGTTTCAAACTGCGCTTAAGTGAAAATAAGGTCTCTTACTTTTGCACATCGCTAGCTTCCCTGTAATCGTCAATCGCTTTGCGGCGTTCTTAAACATTTGCCTTCAAATTTGTTTAATTCCGAGGATTTGTTATCATTTAAAGTTAAAATGGATTTTAATCAGCACGTAGATAGTGTTCTCAACACTTTAGTGGAAAATACGAATTTCATAAAAGAAATGTCCGAGGGTAAGATATTAAATGACTTCAAAAGCAGCATAAAAGACAAACATTTTCCGTCAGCCATGGCCGAGTATGGAGACGATGAAAATGCCATTAAATTACTGGAGGAAAGCGCTCAATCACGAATTGAGTTGGCGGAGCATCTTATCCGAATGAAGAGTCAATACAAGGCTTTCGACCTGGCGATGCAGGAAGCCAAAGCCGAGAGCGCCACCATTGAGGAGTTAGAGGGTTCGTGGAAGGAGCGCCGCGAGACGGTAGAGAAGAAGCGGATCAATGTCAAGAACTTGGGGGACTTCAAGAGCTTCAAGCAGGCCATAGAATCGGCAGCTGGCCGGGGAGAGAACGGCCAGGCCAATGGACCAGACGAGGATGACGACGTAATTATTGAGGGAGTTGAAGAGACCGGCGGTGAAATCTTTTCGCTACTGGACCCCTGGTCCAAAGCAATGATGAAGAACCCAGTCCGCAACCAGATATGTGGTCACATATATGATCGCGATTCTGCAATGTTGATCATCAAGGACAACATCGGCGTTCGCTGTCCAGTTCTTGGCTGTGCCAACAAGAAGTACATCCAGCCAGCGCACCTGGTCGAGGATGCCAAATTGCGGCAGCGGTTGGCCGAAGAGGCTGCGGCTGAGGCGGACCTATCCGAATAGGGATTAGGAATCTGGGTAGATAACATCCGGGATTAAGTTTAAGAGTTATATAGTTCATACAAATGAAGGTTTCACTCACTCATCTTAAAGAATAAGTTAATATGTTTTAAGTTTGAACCAATTAGGTTTTTGTAACCATACACATGAATAACTACCATTGAATTTATTTTGTTGAAAGAATCGAAAAACTAATGTAAATAATTTTTATAATCGTAACTATGAAACAATAAAATTACGCAGTATTGAATGTTATTCCTTTATAAATAATTTAGTGTTGTCAAAAACATGGTTTTGGTTTTCGAAAATCAAGTTATAACCGTTACGTTTAGCTACAGACAAAAATTTCGATAGTTAATCGATATTACCGCATTCTCACCTCTAATTTAAAATCCACTGTTTTGTTTTGGTAAACAGGAGTAAACATGAGCTACATCCAATTTGAAAGTGCTAGAGAGAAGGAAAAAGCGCGCCAGGAGCTGCGAGAGGCCCGTTCTGCTATGTTACAGCAGGCTAAGGAACGAGCGGAGCTTCGTGACCAGCGGGCGCGGCAGAAGGAACTGCGTGGTGAAAACGACTGGATGCTGCCGGCGGTAGCCAAGAAACTAGAGAAGCCGGCCAAAAAGGCGAAGAAAAAGAGTTCCAAGCACAAGTCTAGGTCCAAGTCGAAGTCCTCCAAAAAGAGCAGAAAGCACCACAGCAGCAGCGACAGCGACAGTACCAATTCATCCTCATCCACCTCTTCAAGTGAGGATGAAAAAGAGCGCAAGCGACGCAAGAAAAAGTCCAAGAAAAGTCGAAAAGAAAGCACCAGCGAGGACGAGTGGGTGGAGGCTTCTTCACCTTCTGCTTCCTCTGGGGACAAGGTTGCCGAAAAGGAGTCCCTCCAGCGTGACTCTTGGATGACCAGCGAGGCTCTGTTGTTGAAGACCTTCTCCAAAGAGCGCAAGGAACCGGCCAAACCCAACGAGAAGGCCCAACAAATCGATGCCTACGATCCAGCAAAGAGCGGTCGTGAGCTGAATCCCTACTGGAAGAGCAACGGCACGGGTCTGCCAAGCTTCCAGAAGCCACAGGAGGACGAAGAGCGGCATGCCGCCAGGCCGCAATCCAGCAGCTCCGGCCAGGGATCATCGCGTGGTTGGCGTAAACCCTCTGCAAAGGTTCCCAGTCCAGCAAGGAGGAGCAGATCCCGATCTAGAAGTGCCTCTTCTTCTGGGGAAGAGGAAGAGGACGCGGCAGGAGAGCAACAGAAACCAAGCTTGTCCTGCCTCACCGATGAGCAAATCAACGAGCTGGCCGGCAAGGCCATCAAGGCGGAACTCAAAGGCAAAAAGGAACTAGCGGCGGAGCTTAATCAGCAGCTGGAAGCAGCGCGTAAACAGCGAGCAGAGTTTATTGCATCCGGCCAGTCAGCACCAAAGACAGCAGTAAAACCAGCCAAGTCCAAAACAGAACATGTGCTGCTCACTAAGGTGGATCAGAGAGGCAACGTTCGTCCTCTAGTCCAATCCGCCGATCCCAATGAACTATACGGCGGTAAAAGAGGTCAGAAACGCAGCAACAAGAAGGTGGACACCCATGTGGATGGCCAGCGTGTGAGATACTTCGCCGACGATGATCGCTACGACATAAAACAAATGGTAAGCTAAACTTTTAACAGCCACAGATAAATAATAACACTTTTTGTTTACCAGTTTGAGCGGGAGAAGCATTCGACGGCGGCAGAGGCCAATCTGCAGTATGCCGACATCGTCTCCAAGCACAAGAATCCCAACGATGATTTGGAGGACATATTCGCCGACAAGGTGCGCAAGCAGATCTCGGCAGGGGATGCCGAGAAACGGGAGCTGCAGAGCGCTATACGGGAGCACGAAAAGTTGGCGGCCAGTCTGGAGAATTGTGAGCGCTGCTTCGATTCCGCCAAGTTGGACAAGCAGCTGCTGGTCTCCCTGGGCGAGAAGATCTACCTCAGCCTGCCGTGGTACGTGGGCCTGCAGAGTGGTCACTGCATTTTGACGACCCTACAGCATGTGCCCTGTTGCACGCAGCTAGATGAAGACGCCTGGGAGGAGATGAGCAACTTTCGAAAAGCACTTACCCGCATGTTCGCCGCCCGACGACAGGATGTGGTCTTCTACGAGATCGCCAATAAGCTACACCGTCGTCCGCATCTCAGCGTGCACTGCATTCCCATTCCCGCCAGGCAGGGCGAAATGGCGCCCTTCTACTTCAAGAAGGCCATTGAGGAGTCGGAGCAGGAGTGGTGCATCAACAAGCAGTTGGTTTCGCTGCGACAAAAGTCTCTGCGGGCGGCCATTCCCAAAGGACTGCCCTACGTGTGGGTGCACTTCGGCATGGACTCGGGCTTCGCTCACGTAATCGAGGATGAGAATCGCTTTCCGGCTAATTTTGCTCAGGTTTATTTGCAACGGTATAATGCATATACATATTTAATTTATCTCGGTTCAATATTTTTAGGAAATCCTTGGAGGCATGTTGGAACTAAATCCCAATGCTTGGCGCAAGCCACGCAAGGAGACAAACCCCATTGGAAAAGTAAAATCTTTTGCCGAGAACTGGAAGAAGTATGATTGTACACAGCACTGACCTAGTTTGATATTCAATTGGATAAGTTTGTTGATAATATATATTAAAAAAAAACATAATGATTGGACAAATGTTTTAATGTTTAATGAATTAAAAAGCGTTTTCACTAGAGATAAAATCTTTGTTGGTCATTTATTTGAAAATTCGATTTTGTTGAAAAATCAAGGAGGAACCCCACAAAATTTTCGAAAAAATGTATTCTGCAAAATTAAAAAAAAAAAAACTGGTATGCAACTTCATTATAGAGGTAGAAACATGAAAGAAAATACCTTTCCCGTTCAGATAAAACGATTTTTAACCATTTCATACAAGTTTTACTCGTATTAATAGCCATTTACATCGGAACAAAGAAGTTATCGATAGCACACGAGTGTCACCTCTATGACCTGCTGCAAGTAAAACAAAAAAACAATAAGCAAATTATAACTTTGTTGGAATCTGGTTAGATTATGGGGATTGCCATCCAAAAAGGCGAACGGGAGGCGTAAGTGAAACCAGCCGAGGACGAACTGCATCCAATGCGCCTGCTTTGTTTGCTTTTAAGAAGCGCTGGTGTCAAGCAGCAGGTGTTTAGATCGAGATCCAAATCCAAATCCATGACCATTTCTCGGAAGGATTCCAGCCAGAGGGTGTTGTGATGGAGCGCTAGGTTGTGGCGAGGATGTGGCCAGCTGCCCTGTCCCGCCTGCTGAGACGCCGCATTGTCTACATTGTGCTGGTGCTGCTACTACTCGTTTACGGATTCGGGCACCTCTTCGATCGGGTAAGCGTTGGTGGAACTATGGGTAGGTATTCGGATCTACGGAGATGGATACTGCTTCTTGGACCTTAAGTTCATATAAGCTGTAGTATTGATTACATGGAATTTAGATATCACTGGTGCTAACTACTTAACCTTTGATCACGCAGGACTCCTTTGCTGGTCTGCGCTATGACGAGTACGTGGTCCAGCGCACCCGACCGCTGCTGTGGACACAGCAGCTTCTGGCACCGGAGGAGCAGCTCAATCGCACACGCGGCGATCCGGAGGCACGCTGCCGCAACTCAGTGCAGGGTAGCCGACTGCTGGCCGACGAGCGGGGATTCGTGTGCCGCCGCGAGGAGGTGCTGACCAGTGGCTGCTGCAATCCCGAGTTGCCTGGCATAGGCTATTACAGCTGCCGCACCTGTAACACCAGCACCCACTGCTGCAGCGTGTACGAGTACTGCGTCTCCTGCTGCCTGCATCCCGGCCAGCAGCCGCTGCTCGAACGCGTCCTGCGAGCACCCAACACGCCCAAGTACATCTTCGCCAGCGTTACGGATCACTTCGAGCTTTGCCTGGTCAAGTGCCGGACGAACTCGCACTCCGTGGAGCACGAGAACAAGTACCGCGATCCGGCGGCCAAGCATTGTTACGGTCTCACCGAGGCGCATGAATCCCAGCGGGATGTGGCGCCACAGGGAGCGAGTCGTAGCTGACCACTGGTCACTGCCGCTCCTCCTCCGTCCAATGCGATGAGATTTCTTCTGTAAAAAGTTCCCAGCCCGAGAGATTGACGTTGAACGGCCGAGCCTTACCTCGAACTAGAAATTATGATGTTATTAATGACCATTTAGCGAAATGTCAGGGAATGCTATGCTCTATTAGAGGGTATTTTAATGGGATACACTTTTTTGACAACCAATTTCCCACATTGTACATTGTAGTTTATTTAGTTTTCATAAGAATTAGCCATTTCTGCTATTAAGCCACCTTTTTTTAACCTGAGACCAATTAGAACCAACGTAAATTTAAATCGAATTTAGGTTGTAGTAATAATACATTTTTTACGCTTTCTTAAAATAGCTTCAATTATTTTTGTTAAAAACGGAACTGACATCCTAACATTTCAAAGAATAACAAACAGGCTCAAAAGCTCTCTTCAACTGCATATGATTTAATAAATTAGTAAATAGATAGAATTTTTGTAAATAAACTTGTAAATGTTAATCTTATAGGTGCAATTTTGGTCTATGAGTGAAGACCTTAAGTAACATTATTTATTGATGTTTGATTGTGTAAATAGTGCTTGAAAATAAATAGGAAAAAACCATAAACAGAAATCCTATTTATCTTCTTTTAAAGACATTTTCTGAAATTGTTAGGCATTTGCAAGCCGTTCAGATTTAGTTAAATATTTTGTTGCAGATCCTAAGATGGAACGTTAAAGGGTTCCTGGTGCACCACTTGACCTTCGATGCCGTAGAAGATGGTGCCATCCTGAACGTAACCCCAGGCCATTCGGTGCGAGGTGAAGCTGATGCCCAGGTCACCGGACTTTCCGACCACGATGGCACCACCAGTGCCGCCCAGCCGGCGGGTCATCTCCTTGCACTCCTTGTCCGCGGCTGCCTGGGCGGACAAGCCCAGGTGCTCCATGGCGGCCAGGATGCGCTGTGCTAGGTTGTATCGCATGATGGTCTCGCCGTGACCAGTGGTGGAAACACCGCCGCGGAAGTCATCCGCATAGGTTCCACTGCCCAGGATTGGAGTGTCGCCAATGCGACCTGGCCACTTGCCGGTGATTCCACCCGTGGAAGTGGCCACCACGATGTGACCCTCGGCATCGATGGCCACGGCGCCAACGGTCTCGCCACTGGGATCCGTCTTCGGTTCCTTCACCTTATCCTCCGCCAGTTCTGTGCGCGCAAAGAAGGGATCCTTGCCCTGGGCCACCTGGTCCTGGAACTCCTTCAGCGTGAAGCGGGCACCCTCGGTGATTAGGGCTCCCGGTGGCAACAGCCTTTGTCCACCCGCCAAGGCCAATTCCTGAGCAGCTGCACCGCCGATGAAGGTGTGTCGCTGCTTCTCCATCAGCTGGCGAGCCGCCGTTATCGGATGCATCACATCCCGCAGCAGAGTAACGCAGCCTGCCCCCAGATGGCGACCCTCCATCAAGCTGGCCTCCATCTCCACTTCGCCACTGGTGTTCAGGCAAGATCCGTAGCCCGCGTTGAAGTTCTCGTCCAGCTCCATGCTCCTCACCGCCTCCTCGACGGCATCCAAGGCGCTGCCAGGACTTCCATCCTCCGGATTCAACTTGTGCCAGGCGGAGCGAAGTGCCTGCTTGATGCCCGCGAACTTTCCCGCCACTCTGGAGTCGGAAATGTCGCCTGCTCCGCCGTGGATTAGCAGCACTGGGCGTGGCATTGCGGAAATGTTGCGGAGCACAAAGATTAACCGAACACTCGATGTGGTCGACAGCTCGAGCAGCTGATGTCTGGCAGTCTGGAGTCGCCGACTGTTGGGGAATTGTTTTATACTCTGCCTGCCTTTATGGCTCCTTTGTTGACGTTGATAATACCCTGCGGCTAGGGGATTAACTATCCCTAAAGCACTTTGTGCCATTTGGTTGTGGAGTTTCCAGGTAAGTTGAGTTTTCATAACATTCATTTGGTAAAAGTTTTAGACAAATTTCCAAAGGTTACTTTTAATGACATGCTTTAATTATAGACAGTGTACCTTTGTATTTTAAATGTGTTATAATGGTTATAAATGTTATAGGGCACCTTATTAAAGTTCTCTAACTGGAGAATATACTAAAGAACATTTTATAATTTAAAGCAAGGGTAAAGAGTGATCAGTTACTCATATTTAATTTCTCAATCTTTTTTTAATTGTTTTGGTTTTTGTGGTTGCATTTTTCTTATCTCCGAAATGCATTCAAAGTACTTACGTTATTTATAAACAAGCTTCAGCGAAATTTAACATTTTCAAACAATTACAATTTTTCTACTAAGTTTTAAATTCGCTTTTAAATTGTAAACATGACACTAAAAGGGTATTCAGATGTAGACTTTTAATATTTCTGCGGGACATTGCCCTTGTGTTTTTGTTTTCTCTCATGAGATAAGGCGAATAATCTGTTGTTCGAGTGGTAGTTGTGTTGTACTTGAATAATATAATGGGCGTGAGAACCCAAAGATATCGGTGAAGCTCCGAAAGAGGCATCTTTGTCACAGGTATTTATTTTCGGAGTCCAACTCTCTAAAATGTGGAACAAAAACAGGCTTAACTTGTTGACGAAGCTGCAATGCCAGCACATGGGATGCAAACATACTACAAAGATGTGGAACATTATTTATAAAAATCTAGACTGGCATCTTACTTGCATCTAAATGCAAAAGGAATTATTATAAAATTTAAATAACATACCAAAACATAATGACATTAAATAAAATTAATGTTTCCTCCAACTAAAAGTACAACTATAAAGCTTTATCAACGTATGTTACTTATTCATTGCATATCTTCTGTAATAAATTTCTATACCTCTGTTATTTACTTTTCGAAATCAATCAAACGCGAAGGGCTAATTTTGTGGCTAATGGTCATGTCATATTCATAGCCTTTGTCATCCATTGCCGGTGGCATGGCAAAGTTCAATGGTCATTGCCCGTACGCGTCACTTCACCAGTGAAACAGCAAGCCAGCGATCCAGCGAACACTCGAGCACGCACATAAAGTGCACCATTCTGCGGGGCATAACGGCACCCATCAACCACCCACCACCCACTATCAACCGCCCATCAGCCAGCACCCACCACCCAATACCCACCGCAATGATGATGGAGCAATTAAAGCGAAACGTTTAATCAAAACACTCGACGGTTGGCCAGCAATGGCGATTGCGGCTTGATTGAGTGGCGGCGCCATCTACAGCCGACACTGGTACTGTTAGTGGCGCCACCTGGTGGTTGTGTCACAAAACAATGAAAAATTAGTTCACTGGAAGACGCGCAGTTTCCTTTTTTTGATTTATCATTATTTAATAAATATTATTGAAAAGTTATACAACACAAATTAAATCTGAAACAAAGTCTGTTGAATATTTTAAATTTTAAAAGATAAATCGTTCTGGCATTTTTTTTATAAAATTCTAAAAGAAAAACTCGAAAATAAAATCGGAAAAATTTCTTTTAGTTATTTTAGATGCATTATTCAATTGTGAGAATGTGTATTACCTTAAAGAAATATTTAAAATAAAAAGCGTAGATTTGTTGGCGCAGATTGTTTCCTGATTACTTGAGACTTTGTAACATAGATCTACGATCTCGGGGATCTTGTGAACTGGTTTATGAAGTCAGGGATTCCAGCACCAGCACAATCCAATATTCAGTGCACACTTGAGTGTACGACAACATTTTATGGCATCGAACCGAGAACAGAGCGTTTCTTGAACTCTGCCCCTTTTTCTCTTCGTTGTTATTTCTCTGGGGTCTGATGGAGCAATTTTGGCAGTCTTCTCCTGCCCGCTTTTTTCGCCCAATTTTCCACTTCCCCTGCTTTTGCTTTCACTTGGGGATCAAACGTAAATTTCAGTTTGTGAAGAGGAGCTCGGAAAAGGCCAAGGAGCAACAAGGAGCGAGGGGAGCAACTTGGAGGTGGACTCTGGGTGGGGAATTTATAAATCAAAATGTCAGAAATTGTTAACGGTTGCAGCGACGTTGGCTGTCAGTCGCTGGCGTCGTCCTCACATGACACCCATCATCGTAATCATAGTCATTATCATCGCCATTATTGCCCCCGGTGAACTCTTCTCCACGAATAAGTTTGCGATTAAACGGAGCGAAGAGGGAAGAGCGAAAAGGGGAAACGAGGACGAGGTCCTGCCCAAATCGGAAGGAGACCGGAGACCCGGAGCAATAGTTCACCCACCTTCTGGCCTTTGCAACCTAATTGGGTGTGAAATGCTAATAGCAAAAGGGTTGCACGATGCACAGGTGTGCTGGCTTATTGGGTGCCACTTCGGACCCCATTGAATACTGATTACCGGGATTAATCTCAAATGGCTAACAAATACCTGGGTGCATCTCGCTGGAAAAGAATGCAGGCTATTATTAAAAATTAAGTGAAAACTATAATAAAATTGGCTTTTGCTGGCCGAAAACTGAAAAAATTAATTAACTTTGAAGAGGAATTTATTGCTGGCTGCAAAATATGCATCCCATGGGAATGCTGATGTAAAATCAAATATGTAAATAACCTTTATTAAAAATGCGATTGCAGGTATTTATTTTATATAGCTTTTTTTCAGCAGTTAATTAACTTTGGTGAATATTTTTGTAAAATATATTAACTTTGGGAAAAATGAAATAAAGGTATTCCCAAAGGTTTGGATAGAAAATAAAGTGTTAAGGGGAATCATTTCCTGCTACTCTCCCAGCTCGACAACTGATTTAGGTGTTACTCCGTCTAATTGAGCACTCTCCGGTCAAAAAGGTGTCCGAAAAAGCGGATAAGGGCGTCGTTAACGATCCGGAATGGCATCGGGACTCAAGGTCGCAGCACCTGAGACCACCCACCTGTCGATTCCTTTGGGGAATTTGAAGTGGGAGTGACAATGACACTGAAACACCGACGACAATGATGGCAAAGATGCCAGAGAGCCGCTTTTGTTGCGGCTTACGGATGCCATTCAATGGGCTCCATTTCCACACTTTTCCCCACTTTTCCCACTTTCCCCTCCATTTCCCCACCGTTTTCCCTCTCCATTTTCCGGCTTGGCTTAAGCGTCAGTGGGAAACCGGATAATTTTCTGCCCCTCCAGCTGGCGGAAAGTGAATGGAAACAAGCGTTGGGATCGGAATCCACTTGCCCAAAGGTGTCTCTCCGTTTAAAACCGTCCTTTGGGCTCCAGTTATTTTCCAATTAAGTCCTCCTTCAACTGGACAGGCACAGCGAACAATTACTGGGATAATTCTATTCCATAAAAAAGTCCATGTTTATTTGTTTCAATTATTTAACAAGGCCATTAAAAGGGAATCTTACGAACTAATGCAAGAACTCAAAACAACACTTTAATACTGTATAAATAAATTGCATTTTAATGACTAAATGTAAATGATATTATGTTACATTTTTCTTAAATTTAAGTTTTCCCTCCAAAGAAAACTTCTTCAAGTAATTTCCCAATTAAACTCCTCACAGCTCAACGCACTTTCCGCACATTTGTTAACTTGTTTCGAGGCGAACTGATTCCTGTTGGTTTTGATTTCTAATGGATTTGGGAGTGGGATTGCGGCGGGCTAATCCGAATCCCCGTATCGGTTACAACCGGACGGACTCTTGCCGAGTTCATTGTCCTGTGTCCTTAGAACGTCCTGGCTGGCAAATTAAATTGTCAGCTTCGTTCTCGCCCTGCGATTTGTGTTTATTTTTTCTTGGCCAAAAGTTGTTTCTCCTTGCTGGAAAAGCCGGCATCTCTGACTTTGATTTTCGCTGGCGTTTTTGTCTTTCGGTCTTTTCCGTTCCAAAGGACGGCCACTTGAAAATTAATTTAGAATAAACCGCAGGCAATCGCCGCCATTGAAGCCAACATCTAACCACAGTGGATATATTTCTGTTTATCCTCAGTCAGATAATTGAATTTATCGACGTCTCATCCTTGTTTGTTTGAGCCAAATTGCGTGTTATAATTTAATTTCCTAGCCATTGGCAAGCTCACCCGACGTTCCCTTCTCACAAACTGCAGCAATTTGAATATATATAGTATATACGTTTACGAGTATAGTTTTTGTTCGGCCAACTTTATCGATTGTTGTGAATTGTCCTTATCTATCGCTTTATTTTTGGCCAAGACGTAGCAGATTTCAATTAAAGCTGGCTCAAAGTTGAACGCTATGAGCACATAGTATAAAAATAATAAATAAATAATATGCTTTTGGATATATCAATAAGAAATGGGAATTCATTGAGTAATAAATATACTTTTAAATATTAATTTGCTATTTTTAGCTTTTACCAAATGATCTTTAATGAACCATAATGTAACTTTTATTATTTAATCTTACCTTATTTATTGCATTTTAATACATCTCTAATACGTATTCATTTCAGGCTCACTCTATTCGAATTATTGAACTTTCGTCCTTATGGGAAACTTTTGGGCTCGACAGCAGATGGAAAACACATGTAGCTAACTGGCAATCTGGATTTTATCCCAGCCTATTCCGCTAACTAATTCAATTTTAATGTACTCAAGGGCTGCTTTTGGCTAATACAGTTGGGCCCTTGGCCACTATTCACCCGGATTTATTAACTTTTTCTTGTGGATTGCCTTCAGTCAAAGCTCAAATAAAATCCACGCATAATTACTTCAATGTAAGAGTTTATTATTTGGCAAATTTAAGGTAAACTTTTTGTTTAAAAACATTTTTGCTGTGTACTCGGACAATGCAAACCGCATAAAGTTATTCTCACTCGAAAATTCTGTGTTGATTCAATTCCCCAGTGAATTCCTCTGTAAATTGCAGGGGGTAACAAATAACTTTTGCCATTGCGATTAATTTACGTGTTACTTTGCCCGGCGGTTGTCCTTTTTCTTTTTCTTTTTCTTTTTCTTTTTATTATTA